AAGTAAGTAACGTAACGTAACGTAAGTAACGGTAAGTAAGTAAGTAAGTAAGTAACGTAAGTAAGTAAGTAAGTAAGAGTAAGTAAGTAAGAGAGAGAGAGAGAGAGAGAGAGAGAGAGAGAGAGAGAGAGAGAGAGAGAGAGAGAGAGAGAGAGAGAGAGAACCCCTATCAGCAGATAATCGAAAAAGCAGTTTTTGTTTATTACATACCAACATGGTAGTTCATCAGCACATAAATCAGACAAGCGGTTCTTGTTGTCACATACCAGGGAAGTAGTTGATGTCAATCACATAAAATCTGTCTTTGGAACCATGCTCTCGAATCATATCGATATTGAACAGTCGCAAACCCTGAAGGCACATCGAAAAGAAAACAGTCAAATACAATAAACAAAATTTTTAGCAAAACAAGATGAGAGAATAACCACACAAAACACACACACACACACACAAATCACTCAATTTACCAGTCTACGGCGAAGCTCCTTTGCAAGCTTCTCGAGCAAGGGTCGTGGCGGAAGCTCTGTAAAAATTAAAGAACCACCAAATATTTTAAGAACCCAAAAGAAATCCCATTAATACAGAGAATCATCTTTACTTATCATTAGTACTGGAAGCAAATTTGGGTACTGCTATATGGTTCAAACAAAATCATTTTGAGAAACTGACCTGCAATGCAGGGGTCAAGATCAGCATCATCAGCAGAGGCTGCAGCATTGGAAACCCTAGGGAAAGGGATGACTCCAGCACAATTGAGGAGCTGACGGCTATCAACATCAGGAAGGGAGAAACGCCTCACCACCTTAACAGCGTCTCCCACTATATAGACTTTAAAAAGGACACCACCTGCGATAGATAACACCACAGAAAAACCTAACTAGCCAGTAGCAAAAACCATTGTTTCTTAGGACATGTATTTTATCAGCTAAGTTGAGCTATGTTTATTCTTTTTCCAGGGTATCAGTTGTGCGAGTATTATCCTACCATGGTTAACAAACTCCTGAAGCACAAGGGGGGGCTCCAGTTGAGAGAGCGATAGTTGATCGTAAGCAAGAGATAGCTCATGTGACTTGGCACTTCCATCTACAACCAAGGGCTTCGCAACTGAAAACACCCACACAAAAAAAAAAGGATTAATAAAAAGACCTTAACTATCAACTAAACAAAATACAGAGCACTTCTTTTATATGGTTTCTTTTGAGGGAGAAAAAGATCAAACATAAATATGTAAAAGGATAGAAAGAGCACAAAAGAAAGATTTGAAAGCCATGTATACCCATGAGATATCCACCAAATAGAAACGGCTGGGAGGAGACAAGGAAGCGGTGGGAGTGGTAGGGGAGAGGCTCATGAAAAGAATAGAGACTCAGGAAAACCCCAAACGTTGCACTGCATGATTAACTATGTCTCTAGAAGAGTGGCTCACAATCTGGAGGATGCCATGTCCAATTACACCTAATGAGATGGAAATATTCTGATGGAATATTAGACTAGCATCAAATGGAACTATCTCCCATTCCCTAGGCATTCTGAAGATTTTCAGTGAGCAACTATTACAATTGTCCTGCTCCAGTGCTCTCGTAGCCCACAAAAAGTTCCCACAAGATATATTCAAGAGGCCCTTGTCAGGCCTGATAGAAGGACTCGTGTGCATAATTTCATCATAGATGTTAATCGGTTATAAGAAACAAGAGAAAAATGGTGAAGTTGTACATCTTTGTTACGGTTATAGAAAGTTGTGAGCAGGTCTCAAGCTTTCCTCTTAGAGGGGCACCTTTGACGGAATTGAGATCTTTTGGACCCAAAAAGAGAAAAGTTGGTAGAGGTGAATAATAACAAATTGGTTGAGATTGTCTAATAATGAATTTTCATGGCTGCGCTCCAAAATGCAGAAACTAGTTCATAAACTTTTGACTCTATCTTGTAGCTGGGAATTAGGATCCTTATTTATTTCGTAATAAAACTAAAACATGCCATGATCAATTGAAAGAGTAAAAACTTATGGTGCAGTGCCGCAACCAGAAATGCACCCCATTAACTAGTTTAATATTTCACGTTTGTCCAGATTCTAGACTATCAAATTTTATAATCTCATTTAGAAAACAAGTCTCTTCACATGATTTCCAGCAACAAGCATATTACTTTATACAGAATTTACCTACAATGTCCACTCTTGTCCTCATTAAAAATTTCATAGTTTGAAGCTAGTCAGCTAGTCAAGGGATAATCTGATCCACATTTTCTCAAATAGAAGAACATAAAATGAATAAGAAAAAAACCAAAAAACACACACATCAATTGACCATATATTTTGTGTCCAAACATGCCAGAAAGTAAAGAGATATCGGCACTAATCATCTAGATCCTACCAAAGAACCTAAACAATTTTATAAGATTCAGCTGCTTCAGCATATTTTTTCATTACAGGGCAGTTGGTGACAAGATGTAATGAAAATATCCAAGCCAACTACTGCAGCAACATATCTAGTGAATTTCTAACATGGGCAAAGTACCCTAAGTATCAAAAAAAAAATTGTTCAATAAAGCGAGAGTAACGTACCCAGAGGTAGCTGTAACCCAGATCTCTTAACAGCATCAGGGATGGAAGACGGGTCTGTAATGATAACAAGCTGCTTAGGAACGCCAACTTTACCTGCCATGGTAGTCAGAGAAGGCATTTATGTGAGCCACCTTGGACTGTGTATATAGCTAACAAGAATATGGAGCAATTTTAACTTTTAATCCATTACCCTTGCAAGGATCACTCCTTCCACCTCCACACCCAGATATGAAAAGAAGACTCTAGATTTTGTAAGATAAGAATCAGCTAGATGATGGATTTCTCAGTAAAAATTCAATAGTTAAAGCAAAGGCTAAGGGAATCACCATAAGAGTCACATAAGTTCAAGTCAGCCACATCTTGAAGCATAGATTGACGATTATGTACATGTTGTATGGCATCAGGGGGATCAAGCACAGTAACTTCAGGATATTTTTGTCGATAATCCTGCAAAAATTGAGTTCCTTTCATTAAGATGCACACCAATCATGATGAATTGGAAACAATTCCAAACAAAACAAATAATGGGAAAAAATGGATGAAACACAAATTACGAACACTCAAAAGTAATGAATGATAGGAAACAATTCCATTCACAGCATCAGCAGCTAAAGCATCTGTACCCTCTAGACAAGCATAGAACTGTGAAGAATAGGGGAGCACACAGAGAAGGGACCACATCCTAAGGGTTTTGGATTGGAGTAGAAGTTGATGATAAAGTAGACTTCTATGATCATGCCATTCTCCTAAGCATGCGGTATGTTGCCAATTGCTACACAAAATCAGCATTGCTTGTGCATTGTTGCCAAATAGGACTAATCCAGGATGAAGGTCAAACTTCGAAAGCTATTTCAACTCGACACCGCGCAGGCTCTTGCAGGCACAATGCAAACCAACCAAAGACATTGCACACTTAATTGAAAGGACTTTCAACCTCAACAGTCATGATCGTCCTAGAGTCCTTTCTGGGAACTGCACCACCAGGGAGAATTCCCTATTGTCCATCTCAGACTCTTTTGTACTTATCTGAACTAGTATTCCAAGATATAAGTTTGAGAATATACACATTCAGCCATCTCAAAAGGGTATCCCTCTTGGTTAATGATAAAATATTGATGGGTTTCGCACGGTATATAATGAACATTCCCCACTGGACAGGTTTAGATGATGTAAAATTTCTCGTGTAAAAGATAGTACGACATACCTGAATTTTCAGTTTCAAAAAAAGGTAGACGCACCAGAATTAATCTTTAAAAGATTGTCTAAAGAAGACAAGAAGAATAGCCACACATCTCTTGTTAGATGCACCAGAATTAATCTTTCACCAGCCAGGAGAAAACCAAAAGAGTAGTTTAAATGGGCCGCAAGATATCATTGAGCAGTTCAGCACTGTCGATGAATCTATAATGGTGAGAATGTGCTACATGTGGCAAGTGATACAGTCCTAGCAGCTGAAGGCATATAAGCCTATTTCCACGAGAGAAGGTATCCACCAATAACTTATCATTCTGACACTCGCACTTGCAGGAATCTAGCCATATGCCTAATAATCTCAATGATGGTGAACTATCTTCTATAGAACCGACGGTCTTCCAATTCTAACCATACCACTACCCAGGCAGGATTAATAATTTTACAGCAGGACTGTAATGTTAATTGGATTTCCATAGGCTGCTGCTCCACCAGCAATGGTAAAAGCAGCAAGTACAATACGGTGCAATAATCCTTCTGCAAACCATATTTTTCCTATAGTCATCCTTCTGCAAACTGTCTTCTTCATGGGCTTTCTAACAGAAGGCTATAAATGATGACTATGAGAAAATATAGTATTTCTAGATGATATAATCAATATAAGCATAAGTAAGCATAATGTAGATACAGAGAAAGAACGGAAATAAGAAAGCAGTGACTCCATATGTAAGCAGAAACCCTAGTGGTTAGAAGCAAGTCGTGGAGCTTTTCTATTTCTTCTCATGAAGATGGGGAGGGAACATCTTTCAAGTGAAGCCAGTGATATCCCAAACGATTTTACAAATCTGAGCCAAAAACGGTTGGACACAAACGAAAATCCAAATCCATGCGACATATAGAAGGACAGAAACAAAATACAAGAAGAAGTCTTGATTATACAACTTCAACACCACATAATCATATGTGTACATAAAGAACACACTTTTTAGCACACCAATGTTTCGACCATTCAAAAGATTACAGTATTAATATCTGATACTACTACACAAATAACTAGTAATCAAGGGACAAACTCTAAGAACATCCAGAAACGTGCAGATTATTTAATGGAAGGAGCAATATACAGACCACATGATGAGCTACATATACATATTCAGAATTTCAGACATCTCCTAGATTGTGTACATTTGCTTTTCAAATGTTATCACATTCCCAGTTCAAATAAATATGTGTTTATATGAAGCCATACCAAATTGATTCTCAAAATCACGGAACTCAATGATTAGTTCTATGTTGGCATAAGAGCTTTAGAAAACTGACTGGATATACATTATTTTCGTTTATTCAAATTATCTTCCTGACTCCAGGCTAAATGTCTCGGTATCATTGCAGTTGATGGCCCGCAATCCATAAAACGCAAAGACATGTATTAATTATTTGAAGGAAAAAGTTTATATAAGGATGCTACCTTATAATGTAGAAATACGGATGCCCCTCAAAAATCCATCGGAAAAGGTAGTTTTAATGTTGAAAAACCCTTTGATTGATCATCTCGACATCGAGATGTATGACTATGAAAAATAAAAATATTTTAAGTCTCAGAAATAGTGCATTTTACAACATATTATCTACACCGTCCATTTTCAAGATTTTCATATGTTTATAGATCTACTTGATTATAGCCATTTTTGAAATTTAAAATTTTATAATTAGATGTAAAAATAGATTTTGAGATAATCCTAAGAACATTTTGCATCAAAATTATATACCATGATAAAATTTGAAGGTGCACCTTACCTTTACACCTACGGATGCATCCTTATTTGAAAGGTAACAAAAATCACGATCAATTTCCGACTTTAAAACACATATGACTGAAACGGAAGCAGTTTTCTCAAAGTACCAAATTTAAAATCAAATAAGATACATGAATGCAAGAGGGACCCATATCATAAAAGTTCAGTTCTAACACTTTTAATTTTTTTAATTCAAACAACATAGGAATAGAGTTCTGCACTGCATATTTGAAAGCAGCCCAAACACTTTTTTAAACACTTGGTTATCTGGCAAAAAAATAGTACTTCTAGATCACCAAGCTCACTGATGGAAACAAAACCAAAATTCTCAAGCTGAATAAAGTAAAAAAACAACAGACTCACGATAATGAAATGGAATTTGCAAATACAATGCATAATCTTGTCTAGTAGAATGTATAATCTTATTTACACTAGCAGCAGTGCATCAGATCACAGCATCTGCACCAAAATAAAGGCTGGAGAGCACATATTTAACTTGGAGAGCACATATTTAATAAGGCTTTGGAAAAGGACCATGCCACAAATAATATCCGCAACCGACATTTGAGCTAGAAAGACTTGCTTCATAGCTCAATTTGTTGATTTTCCAAACATTTTAAAGACCCAGCCAAGACTACAGCTCCACATATGTTTTCTCTCAGAAAATTTGTTGAAATTAACAAAGAAACATCAGAAATTAAGACATCAATTGCACCTTATGCGTAAAGTGCACTCAGGACAAGAACAGAGAATGGCTGTAAAATCTATGGACTATTCATGGATTTAATAATCATTTTCAATATATAGAACAAAACATAAGCGCCTCTGAAGATATGACTTCGAAGCATGAAAGTATAAGTTTGCTCAATGAAAAAAGTAAAATGGTTCAGAAACTTGAAGTAAGACCTGAAAAGCCAACCAATGACTTTAACATAGACTAGCTGATAAAGAAGATGCTTGCAGCATATGGTTAGCCTCATTCACTCGAATTCCCTTTGCAGCAACCTTAACTACCAGAACATGATGAAGCAAAAGAGCAATTTCTCTGCATATTTTTTGAGAAAAAAAAATTAAGGACAAGCAGCGTCTGAGCTACCAAGCATTCCAAGGTCGATTGATGCACATCTTAATAACAGGGACGTGATGTAATTATTATACACTAGATGCATAGTAATGGGAAATATTCAAGCACATACAAATATATTTCAGGATAAGTGTAAGTTTCAAGTTCTGTCACCAACTAACCTCGAGAATTTGGCGCCACTCCCTACCTGTCAGCTGATTAAGGCACAAAACATACAGATCTATCAGAGACATGACTAGGTAGATTACCGTTGAAAACGTGTTTTCAAGCTGAACACATCCAAGAACAAGTTCAGAAAAACATAACAAAAACCAAGCAGATTGAAAAAACAAAAACCCTCCCACTTTTCATTCATGATCCTTTAATGGCAGTAGACAAATTGAGGAAAGCAGTAAGGTAACAGGAACCCACTGACCTTATGCAAAACAATGTCAAAAGGCCCTTGTTCCGTGAGAGACTTGTTTCGATCAATGGCCACAAACAATATCCCCTTTTTCCTGAAAATGAAATTTAAAAAAAAATAATCCATGGTTACTGTATGATGATGAAGTTTACTTCAAACTTACAATAATTACTGACTGGTATAAATAAATCAGTAAAACCAATTAAACCATTCTTAGAAAAGGGTCTTTGAATATCATGACTGGTAAAAAAAGCCACAGACAGGAAAAGCGCTAGATGACATAACAATATGACACAAGATCATGACCTGTGTTCCACAAAATCAAAAGGATACATATTACATAAAAAATACAGACATGTAACTTGACACCCAACTCATGCCATCAATAATCCATGAGTTGGATGAAAAGATAGCATATCGAGGTTTAAAATAGCATGTTATAATGCATAGAACTTTTCACTCTGTCAAGAAATCCCTTTTCAAACTAACACTGACAAATTGGGATGTAACGAAAAATAGTAATAATATGAGATGTACGCCCGTGAACAAACAGTTTTCAAACTAACACTGACAAATTGGGATGTAACTGAAGCAATAGTGGACAAAATAACCAAGACATGCCAAGAGAGAAACCATATGTTACCATAGTGGCTCCAAACAACTCCACTTTCAAAACAATTTAAAACCTGTCCCTTGCACTATAGCTTTTTTTAATGAAAAAAGCATTACATGACAAGTGTGGATGTTTAATATTTTTATCGAAGGGAACAAAGAAACCACATTGTCATCTACAATGTGAGTCATAGGAGATCTAATATTTTCTATCATGTAACCACTCCCCAAACATTTTAAATTAATATCAAGAATGGGATCCAGAAAATGACCATGATTAAAAAAACAAAAAAAAAAGATTTTCCTTAGGAAAAATCTCCTCTGGTTAATTGCAGGGATCCAACCAAGATGATAACCCAGAGAATGCATCTGACTCACGAATATTCATTTCAGACCCCAGTCAACAAAGAAATAATTTTCCATTGCAACTTGCAGCCTTATTATAATAAATATTAATAGGAAATGAGGGCCACAGAAGAAGCGGCATTTGTTTATTGAAAGTCCATTTGGCCATCAAGAATATAGGGACCACTAAAGGAGAGCTGAGAAGTCTGGGCACTTGAAAATACTTTAAAAATAATTTTATGTTGCAAATAATAAATCTGAAGAACTGGGACGGACTAAAAAAAAATGAAAAACTGATAGACAAAATAACTAAACCCATCACCAATGAAAGAAGGGGAAAAAAAAAGCCCAGCATTCATGGAAAAGATGAGAGCTTGTGCGCTCGTGCCTGTGGTGCATCACATACACATGCCTATTATCAAAAATCAGGTAAAGTGGCAATTACAATGGAAAAACCCTACTCAACCTAACCCTAAGTTCGCAATCACTTTTTAATTCACATTAATTTCCTACAAACCCCAATTCTTTCAGTACAAAACAACAATATAAGAAACATGGAAATAAAAGAAAACATGGAAATAAGATAACATACAACATAGTGATACCTCTTACATTTTTCATTTTTATGACCAACAAAAGCATTCCAATCACGCCAAACCTACTTCAACTACCATATTTTCTGTTCATCAGAAATTCAACTCAAAATTACTTTCATCTATTTATTCAGCAATTAATGAAAAATAAATCTCCAATTCATGAAAAACGATTAAACAAAACCAGTCTAATTTACAGAAGACAAAACCATCACATACGATAAATCCTAAACGATTAATAAATTTACAGAGAATGAGAAAAAATAAATGATGCTACATAAACAACAACAAAAAAAAACAGATTGCGAAAGATCAAAGAAAGGAAAGAAGACACCAAAATCCAATGCGTGCAACTCCCCCAAAAAAAAAAAGAAAAAAAAAAAAAGTGCCTTTCTCTCCAAAATCAACAAAAATCTCCAAGGATTTACAGAGCAGAGATACCTGGCAAGTCGTTCAAGCTTCGGCTGCAAAAAACTCTTGACCTTCTTGGAGGTGAGTGCATACCCTACAACAAGCTTCTTCTGTTGTTGCATTTGATACCTAGAGCTCATTTCCATATCCCTCTCACCCCAATCCTCATCATTCATATACGAAACCCTAAGAGGTTCTGCAACTCCTTCCATTTTCGAACCTTTCCAATCTGGACTCACAGAAACCCTAGACGAAACCTTCACTGAATCCCCTCCCATCCTCATTCCCTTCCCAAAACCTTAACCCTGACCAGAATCAAAATCTCGAATTTATGAATAACTTATCCTGAAACTACTCTTCTTCCTATCCAACAAACACCAGATTTAAATGAAATCCTCTCTATTGGAGGAGATACAACCAGATTTAGAAAAGCGTTATTATGAGTTAGGGCCAAATTTAGCTCATGAAATGGAAGACACAGCGCGGAATCTGCAGGTTCAGATTTTAATAGCAGAGCCTCGCCACCCTCTCTCTCTTTCCAAAACCGAGCGAAGAGAGCTTCATGGCAGGCTCAAAGCGTCCATTATATATATCCAGGTGAAATTGAATTTTAACCTACGATTAACCGGCGTTAAACTCGAGTTACTCACACGTTTTCCTTTTCCGTTAATTTTATATTTTAGCGGCGATTTATAGTTTGGCCACTCACATTTTTAGTCTTCCACCCAAAACGGTAAAAATCTTTTCCCTCGTTATATAGCTTTTATTTTTTCGATTAATTGAGTTCATCTACACGAATCTTGATTCGTCACTTTACTAAAGATCATACCTTATATAAGCTTTCATATCTTATTGGACTACTTTTAATCGCATTTTTTTTATCTCTTGTCTTTTTCAATCGTTCAATTTGATTTAGCTCGTTCATCACATGTTAGATGTTGCGAATTAATCCAAATAAAAAGACGAAAAAAGATAAAGATAAGCCAAAAAATACAGTTGAAAGTAGTCTGAAAAGATACAAAGATTTATAGTCTCACTGAAAGTATGGCTCTCAGTAAGGAAATGACATTTAATAAAATGGAATGACTGATCATAATTTATGTTGTCAATCTCAATTAATTAAAAAAAACTAAGATACAACGCTATTACCAAATAAGTAGATTTTTAATGTTTTGGGTGGAAAGCTGAAAATGTGAGTGGCCAGACTACAAACTGCCGTTAAAATGTCATTGTATATAGTTTTTTATTTGAAAGTATGGGTGTGGAATATTTTTTATTTTTGTTTTGTTGTTTGTGGGTTTGTTTTGGCGTTTTCAATGGTTTCATTGAAAGAATAGATTAGCTCGCGCCGATTAGCCGCTGAGGTGTGATACGCCAGCTGGAGCCAATAATTTTGTTTTTTATTGGCCAAACCAGCAAAGCTGTTAACCGTTAATAATAAAAGCTCTTGAAAAATAAGTGACAAATTCAAACGGATAAAATATCTAGATGGAAATCCGATCTAACACGTCCTCGAATGCTATGGATCATAGCCCGATTCTCCCTTCAAGTATTATATATATATTTAAAATTTATTTAAAATTTTTTAAATCTTCTCTAAATCACCATCGAATAAATACTTATTTTAATTTTTACTTTATTAATTTCAATAATTTTTAAATTATTAATTTGAATCGATCTAGACCAGATCTAAGTCATAAATCCAATACAAATCTATGAGTGAACGATGAACCCTACTAATCCAGATTTTACAACACTAGTCCCTCTACTGTTATTTTAATTTTGCTAGCAAACCAGCTGGTTATAGGTCTATTTGATTTTAAATATAGATCACTAATTAGTAATTAAAAATAAAATATTAAAATATTAATTCATTAAAGACGATTCAGCCGATTTAGATCGCATGGTTTTTAAGATTGCTTTGACACTAGAGGTAAGGATTGTGTATATGAGCTTTTCTACAATGTGAGGCCATCCGAGATTATACTTTTTTATTTCTCCAGCATTCTAGCCTCTTAAGGTGGTTTTTGTCACAATTAATTTTTGACAAGTACCATGTCAAGTGGAAGACTGCTAAGACTGAGACCAAAATTCCATGCACACGCTAAAGAAGTAGAGCGAGAAACCCCGAAAGCACGTAGTGAAGTATAGACAAAGTTCACATCCGCGTTTGAAGTTTGAACCGGCCTTAAAAACCAGCCAAGGGCCTGGTCGAGTAAAATAAAATAAATAAATAAAATATTTGAAAACATGATTAAACAAAGCATATCCAAATGAAATTGAAAATTAGTGAAAAAATGGATTTTAAAAAATCAATTTATACTAATAGATATTTTTAAAAGTTTTCAAAAAAGATGAGGAATTGTAAAAATAAGTATTTATGGCCAAAATACTTTCCAAAATGATAAAAAGACATTCAAAACCACATTACAAATCCCTTATTTTT